GATCAGGTGTGTTCGAGTTTGTTTGTTTTATATGTTGAGAGAAAATTTTTATATTGGACTCATCTGTTACACAATAATTGCAGAAACGAGTTTATTTGATCTTGGAGTATGCTGCCAAAGGAGAATTATATAAGGAGCTGCAGAAATGTAAATATTTTAGTGAAAGACGCGCTGCTACTGTAAGTCCTCTCTCTGTTTCCAGTGCTCTTCCTCCTACAACTCATCTCTGCATCTTTAATTTTTAATAGTCTTTTGACATTTTTTGAGCATAAGACTGACTAGTAGTCATTATTTGTTTTATGGAATGTGAACAGTATGTTGCATCATTAGCTAGAGCACTCATCTACTGTCATGGAAAGCATGTGATTCATAGAGATATTAAACCAGAGAACCTTTTGGTTGGAGCACAGGTATTTAGCGGCATTTATTTGTTAGTCTTAAATGTTTCTTAGTGAAAGTACTAAAGATTTTGCTCACAACGTAGCTGTATTAAATTGTCAGGGTGAGCTCAAAATTGCAGATTTTGGTTGGTCGGTGCACACATTTAACCGCAGGAGAACAATGTGTGGCACACTAGATTATCTTCCACCAGAGATGGGTATGCTTATTTACTAATTGGAATTTGATTGTCGAATATTACATTTATGCATTTCATTCAGACTACAAATACTGATCTGTTTCTCATTTGTGGAATGGATTCTTGGGCATTGTTGCACTTAGTTTATAGTTAGTTACCTAAGCAGTGGTAACTTCACGAACCAGATTTAATACATAACCATGTTTATCCATTGTTTCCGGTGTGCTTATTATTTATTGACCAAAGATCAAATGTTGAACTTGCAGTTGAGAGTGTGGAGCATGACGCAAATGTGGACATCTGGAGCCTTGGTATTCTGTGCTACGAGTTTCTTTATGGGGTGCCTCCATTTGAAGCAAAAGAGCACTCAGACACATATAGAAGGTAAATTTTGCTATCTTTGGTTGGTGATTTTATCAATAGCACAAGTACATGGATTAAAGAAATTGAATAAACCACATGTCAATAGAATGCAAATAAATAACTTTTCCAACAAATGATAGCAATAGAAACAATGTTTTGACAAAGTTGAGCAATATTATCCGAGCTAGATAATCAGATAAATAACAAACTTAATGTTTACATGGAAAACCCGCCGCCTTGGAGGGAAAAAAGTAAGCAGAAATCCAGAATGTGACGACCCGAATCCTTGACCATTCGAGTGTCACTAAATAAAATTCGATTTCCTTTTTTCTTCATAGGGACTTAAATAGTAACAATTTTAATATTAAAGAATAAAGCATTGACGTAAAACATAGCCTAAATAATGTCTTAAAAAAATGAAACTTAAAAGTTGTGTTTCAAACACAATATAATTTATTAATCCGACCATCTCCACGTTGACTGCCTCAAACTATTAATTGTCTGAAAGGAGAAA